GTATACCTAACCCTTAACTGTACCCCACAATTTTAAAATAAAAAATATGTTAAAAATAAATAAATTACAGCTGTTCAGTATTATTTCACTGTAGTTTTGATTTGCATTTCCCTACTGACTAATTATGCTGAACACCTTTTAATGGGCTGTTGGTCACTTGTATATCTTCTTTAGAGAAATGTCTATTCAAGTTCTTTGTCCATTTTTAATTGGATTATCTTTCTTTTGTTGTTATCTTGTAGTTCTTTAGACAATCTATATATTCAACCACTATCAAATATATGATTTTCAAATATTTTTTCCATCTTGCAGATTGTCTTTTCACATTCTTGATAGTGTCCTTTGATGCGCAGTTGTTTTTAACTTTGACAAAGTTTAATTTATCTAATTTTTCTTTTGTTGTTTGTGCTTTTGGTGTCATAGCTAAGAATTATCAAATCTAAAATCATGAAGATTTGCCCCTATGTTTTCTTCTAAGAGTTCATGGTTTTTATCTCATGTTTAGATTGTTGATTCATTTCGAGTTAATATTTGTGTATAATGTGAGATAAGGGTCCAACTTCATTTTTTTTTACATGTAGAAATTTAGTTGTCCTTGCACCATTTCTTAAGGAGACTATTCTTTCCTTCATTGAATGGACTTAGAATACTTGTCAAAAATAAATTTTCCACGGCCACTGAACTACAGTCTGGGTGACAGAGTGAGATTCCAACTCAAAAAAAAAAATTTTTCCATAGATATATGAGTTTATTTCAAAACTCTTGATTCTATTCCATTGATATATATGTCTATTCTTAAGCCAGTACCACACTGTTTGGATTACTGTAGCTTTATAGTAAGTTTCAAAATCTTCTTCTTAAAAGTTATTTTGACTGTTCTGAGTCCCTTGCTATTCCATATGCATTAGAGAATCAGTTTTTTATTTTGCAAAAAAAAAGTCATTAAAATTTTGATAGTGATTGTATTACAACTGTGGATCAAAGATTCTTAAAATTTAACAACAATTAAAGAAACAAAGTTTAAATGAGCATAATATTTGAACAGATACTCACCAAAGAAGACATACAGAGGGAAAGTAAACATGAAAAGAAGTTCAACATTATATGTCTATGGGGAATTGCTAATTAAAACAATAATGGCACACCACTACACATCAATTAGAATGATTAAAATTCAAAAAACCAGTTGCTGGAGTGGATGTGGAGCAAGAGAAATTCTCATTCACTACTAGTAGAAATGCAAAATGGTGCAGCCACCTTAGAAAACAGTTTAGCAGTTTCTTGCAAAGCTAGGTATAATCTTACCATATGATTCAGTAATCGTATTCCTATGTACTTACCCAACAGATTTGAAAATTTATGTCCACACAAAAACCCACACAAGAGTATTTGTAGCAACTTTATTTATAATCACCAAAAACTGGAAACAATCAAGCTGTTCTTCAATAGGTAAATGGAGAAACAAACCGTGGTACAGACTATTCGGTGATAAAAAGAAACAAGTTCTCAAGCCATGAAAATGCATGGATGAAACTTAAGTGTGTATTTATAAGTGGAAGAAGCCAGTCTGAAAACGCTACATACTTGATGATTCCAATTGTGTGGCATTCTAGAAAGGTGAAACTGTATAGACAGCAAAAATGATCAGTGGTCGCCAGAGGTTTAGAGAAGGAAGGAGGGATGAATAAGTAAAGCCCAGGGAGTTTTTAGGGCACTGAAACTATTTTGTATGATACTGTAGTGGTTGATGCATGACATGATGACAAAAGTCAAAACCCATAGGACTTCACAGCACAGAGAATGAACCTTAATGTATCCATATTTTTAAAAAATTATTTAGTAGGTAGGGGAATCCCAGAAAGGAATGCAGACTATGACAAGAGAATCTAACTGCACTACAAACATACGTAACAATCTCAGTGAAGAGGGTAGAGGGAAAGAGTGTTGACTTAAGTAACTTTGGAAATGAATGGGGTTTGTTAGGCTGCACATAGCCACTGTACTCTGAACTGCACAAAACCCCACTGTACTCTAGTTTATAATGTTGTTTCCCACTGTGGTCCAGATTAGCAATTTTGACACCTGCTGTATATGTATACGAGAATCGAGCAATTGAGCAAATAAATGGCAGATAGTGAGAGCCAAGTATTTTACTGCCGGGGTGGGAATTTGTAGATCAGCAAGGTAATGGGACTAAAATGATCCATGTGGTCATGAGTGAGAATTGGAGACATTAGTAGGAACTTACGTTTAGCTTAATACAGGTTCAGATGGTTAAATATAGATATGTACTTATACTCAAGTTTTAGTATACACATATTTATATTCTTTCTCTGTCAGCTGGGAGGGGCTAGAAATGAGCAAGGAGCACAAGTAGTTACTAGTGCCTAAATCTTGCTCCAATAAGGCATTAGAGCTCCTGGAAGAAATGACTTATTCTAAAACCAGGGCAGGGAATATGCAAGAATGACATCTTGTAGTGCCAGAAGGTAAGGAATTGCTAAAAACAAACAAAAAGCCCAGTACCGCTACATTATGGGAATAGGTCAAAGGGACACAGGAGCCCGCTGAAAGTGTTCTTGCAAAGTGTAACTTTGTCAGACTGGGAGCAATTTGAGTGACAAAATAAATAAAGCAGTATTGGCTTAAAACCCAAAGTCTAAAAAAAATACTCATGAGTCCATTCTAATATAAACAAATGATTGAACAAATTTAAAAAATGATGGTGAAGAGACAAATTTCCCTGACTGAGAATTCCAAAACAGGATTAACTTTACAGTAGAGAAAGCTGACTAGCAGGACCTCAGTCAGGTGATCAGGGTCCATATCAACAGTGATAACCATGTTGGTTTTGTGTACCCTTGGTCTGATGTGATGGAAATGGCACTCTATCTCTGTGATCTTCCTCCAGAAACCCATATCCATAGTCTAATCATGAGAAAAACATTGGACAAATTCCAGTAGAGGAGTAGTGTACAAAAAATACCTGACCAGTTCCCCTCCAAACTGTCAAGGTCATCAAAAACAAGAGAAATATGAGAATATGTTGGAGCCAAGAGGCACCTAAGAAGCCATGAAGACTACACATAATACAGGATCCTGGATGGCATTCTGGGACAATAAAAAAAAAGGTTAGAAAAAACTAAGGAAATCTGAATAAACTACAGGTCTTAGTTAATAATAATGAGTCACTATTGGTTCAGTGACTCTAATGAATATATCATACTAACGTAAGATGCTGAAGAGGTTAATATGGAAACTGGGTGAAGGAGTATATCAGAACTGTACTGTCACCTCAGTTTTTCTATAAATCTAGAACTGTTCTAAAAATAAAATGTGTTTTTTAAAAACAGAAACAAAATTAAAAATTGATGATATAGATTATTTTCCACATGAGGAAATTGAAGCTCAAAAGTAACAAAGTAACTGGCCCAAGATTATCAGATCATTGTCCTACTGAAATAGCAGAGGTGGGATTTGAGTCGCAGCCTTTTCTAGTACGTCACACTGACTTTCTTTGCCTGTCTGTGGATAGGACCCCTTCAGTTCCTCGGCTTCCTACGTTTCCATTTATGTGTGTGTTTTTTTCTTGTTCTTCCCAGGGGATGGCCTTTACACTTGAAGAAAGGCTGCAGCTTGGAATCCACGGCCTAATCCCCCCCTGCTTCTTGAGCCAGGATGTCCAGCTCCTCCGGATCATGAGATACTACGAGCGGCAGCAGAGTGACCTGGACAAGTCAGTGCCTAACGTCCATTCTCTCTGCCCAATCTTTGGGCTGAGCAGACTGCTTTCCATGGTCCTCAGAGACTTTTCTGGGAATTCTCAAACTAGGAGAGGCTGAGGGCCCAGAGAGATGCCAAACCCAGCCCTGCCTTCTAAAGGAGTGATGGTCTCCCTGGGATGCAAGGCTTGTTAAGATTGAGGCACAGCTGACGTGTCCTGGGAGAACTGAGAAGGGAAACCGCATTCCAACCAGTAGAACCTGGGAGGGCCCCTGGGAAGTGGTGGGAGCTGAGTTGGCCCAAGAAGTACTGACAAGACTTTCAGACACCAGTGGGGTTTGGGAGGGTGTTTCACTGAGAAGGAAGAGGTGAAGCAAAGGGGCAGACACAGGTATGTTAAGGAAGTGGCTCGGGTCCTGGAATAAAGGGAATGTGGTGGGGGAAGGGGAAATGGACGGAGGATATCTTGGGTCAGACTCAGATGTCATATGTTAGAGGCATGGGTGGCCATTAATAACTCTGCCCCTTCTCTGAGTTTTCTCGGTGGAGATATAGACACAGAGCCAGTAGGGAATCATAGGTCAGCTTCATTAGCTTCACTGAAGAAGGTAGTCACTTCCCAGTTCACATGGCTATGAGTTGGCACTGGCAGGATTTGAACACAGCTAGTTCCAGAGGCTGTGCTTTTTCCCTTTTTTTTCACTTCTCTGCTATGCCATAGCTATGAGGCAGCAGAACCTAGTGACTATAAGACTAGACTCCAGTACCAGACTGAGTTCAAGTTCATATTCTAATTCTTAAAAGCAAAAATAACTTAGCCTCTCTGGGCCACTCTCCATCTGTACAATGAATTTTTTAAAGGTACCTGATGCATAGGGTTATTATGAAGATTAAATGCATTTGTATTTGTGATGTAATTAGAACAGTGTCTGGCACATACTAGGTACTATGTTAGAGGTTCTAGCAGAAATATCGGAAGGTCAGGGATCCTCCTGTGTATCCATAGAACTAAATGGCTACGACTGGGTTCTTGAGGATATGGCTGTCTCCCTAGAGGCAGCAGCATGTCAGGCTTTTTCTGTGCACCTCCCCCGTATACCATCCATTGCCTCACAGTGGTAGTGAGCATGCAAGTCTCTGCCCACACCCCTACATCCTACTCCTACAGCACTAAACTCAAAGAATATTACATTAACTCCAAGGCCATACTGCAGCCAAGGTGAAATATTCTCTCTCAAATGGGGTGTAGCCAAGTCATTCTGAAGACCAACCAGAAATTAAACAATGAATTCAACCAATTGACCATACCCCACCCCTAGAATATCATTATGCTATTGCATTCATTAATGTCCATATAATAACATAATCGACTGTCTTGCACACTGGTTGAGAGCACAGATTCCAGAGCCAGACTACTTAGGTTTAAATCCCTCCTCTGCCATGAGATCTTGGGGGAGTTAATTTATCTCTATATTAGTCTTCTTGCCTCTAAAATAGCAAGAATTATAGTATCTACCTCACAAGTTGTTGGAAGTTTCAAAGGAGTTGATGTAAAATATTTAGGACAGTACATACACCATGTATAATAATGAGTAACATAAGCAGGACATTCTCTTGACATTTCAGAGATGTCGAAATTCATGCTCAGGGCAGATGGGCAACTTGACCCTGAACATGCCATTGTAGCCGAGCAGGAGTGGGAGCCCCGGGCCTTCACGCAGCATGGCCTCTGTCCTTTCCACTCAGAGACATGGAGGACCTGTGTACTGCCTCATGTGAGCTCAAGTGGACAGCTTACTTCTTCTCTCCCTTCCCAAGGTACATCATTCTCATGACCCTCCAAGATCGGAATGAGAAGCTCTTCTACCGAGTGTTGACCTCAGACGTAGAGAAGTTCATGCCGATTGTGTACACACCCACCGTGGGGCTGGCCTGCCAGCACTATGGCCTGACCTTCCGCAGGCCCCGGTGAGCCACATGGGGTGAGGGCTTAGGGAGGGGTTTTCTCACAGAGGGGAATACACAACTTCTTTTCCTCAAGGCTAACACTTGATTGGGTCAGTAGTCCAACAAAGAGGCATTTGATTCTAAGCACTTGCTCAGGAAAATGACCCCTTAAGCAGAGAAATGAGCTGTAAGAGTAGCTAGCAAGGGGGTATCAAATCTTCTCCACCTCCCAATAATAAATGCCCAATATGCTCTGAGTTGGCATGAGAGACAGTTCAGATTGTTTTTCTCTCATTATCTACCTATCACCTCCCCCATTCCCTCTGGTCTTCTCCAGTGTGCCAACAGCTCTCCTGCCAATTCAGGCCAATGAATAATGGAGTGTTGGATACCAAAGGCCGAATTCTTTTGCCGTCTCAAAGAACCACTATACCTTCCTTTGGGCTTGACTCAGATTCCACTTAAAATATCATTTTATTAAGCAAAGCTTTGGCACTGCTTTTTCTTTCAGAGCCAAAAAATTTCAGGCAGTATTCAAAAGAAATCACTTGCATGTTTTTTGTTTTATATTTTTGTTTTTCCTGCATGATGAGTTCAGAATATACATTAAAGAAAAAAATGAAAAACATGGGAAGATTTTCCAAGAGTCCTTGGTGGAATGTGCCTAATCATTATAAATGCACAGTTCTAACCTTATGATAAAAGAGCTGCCTGGGTTTATTATACATAATAGAACATTGTTCTAGTCTGTGTGAGAGTATATAAATATGCAACATACTGTGCACAGATGTGTAATTTACATTTATATAAAATTTATAAATCAGTGTTTTTAAATCATGTGTTGCATGAGAAACATGTAATCATGGGTTTAGAACAGCTTTTGTTAATTTGGAGAGACAATCTTCTAACTTGGAAGCCAGCATTCGTGTTGAGAATTGCAAGAGGAATACAGAGTGTTCTGGACTCCTGTTCTCTTTCTTCCCGGGTCCCACTGTTGCCATTAGCAAAGCTAGCACACGATCATCTTGACGGCAGTGTGTCCAGCTATTGCAAAACACATCTTCATCACTCAGAACAGCCAAGGTTTGGGAATCATACAGGGGACCACTTATGTCAGGACCTGCCTCTTTCAACAGAAAGGAGACTCCCATCCTCTCACTTTCATTCCTGAAACTAATAGTGGCAGAGAAATTGGGAGTGATGGTATGTTTCTGAAGGATACAGGACCCTATTTACCTCCCTGTTCCAACTCAGAAATGGTCCTTCCTTCTCAGAGCAACTCGTGTCATTTCCTCCAAGGCTGTCGCCAGCCCCTGGGGCTTCAAGAATCAAGTCCAACACTTTGACAGAGCTAAAGCTATCACAGCCCATCTCCAAAATTACCAACATAGGTTCCAGCTATACTGATCTATCCACTGATCTATTGCGAGTACATAGATCAGTGGGTGTACACCAGACATTCTCCTCCATGTCTTTGCACACATGTCCCAAGTTCCTAAATTCTCCCCTTTCCTCATTCTTCACCCTTTACAATTCAGGTTATCCTCAAGGCCCACCCCCAGGGGTCAGTTTCTCTGTGGTGCTCTCCCTGACCTCCTCAGGCTCAACTGACTGCTCCTTTCTCAGTTTTCCCATAATGCATCACATATACTTCTACTCTGTGGGTTTTTTTCTTCTTGTTTTATGTTTTTAGTTATTCTATTTAGTAGAACAGAAATTTCTGGAGGGGGCAGGAAACATGTTAGATCCATTTACATATATTCTAGACCAGTACTTAGCAAGTAATTGTCACTGGATTAGGAAAATAATGTTGTTCACTCACTGTGAAGAACAGAGCCTGTGCAGTCAGCCCTGAGTTTTAATCTCTGATACAGTTTGTTGTCCCCTCCAAATCTCATGTTGAAATGTGATCTCCAGCGTTGGAGGTGGGGCCTAGTGGGAGGTGACTGCCTCCATGGAGGCAGATCCCGCATGAATGGCTTTGTGCCGTTTTTGGTGGTCATTAGTGAGTTCTCATTCTCTTCATCACCTCCCCCTCCTTTTGCTTCTGCTATTGCCATTGTGGCACGCCTGTTCCCTCTCTGCCTTCCACCATGATTGTAAGCCTCCTGAAGCCCAGCAGATGTCAGTGCCATGCAGAACCATAAGCCAAAATAAACCCCTTTCCTTTATAAATTATTCAGCCTCAGATATTCCTTCATAGCAATCCCAAGTGGACTAATGCAGTCTTCTTGACTTTGGGCAAGTTTCTTATCTCCTCTCAGCCTTTATTTCTACATTCATAAAATGGAGGTAACAATACTATCATGAGAGTAAATGATATAGGATGGATCAGGTACCTGGCATAAGATTGGAACTAGATAAATGTAGTGTCTCTTTCACTGACATTTCAGAAGAGTAACTATTGTAGGAGGAAGATGTAGAGTCATATTATACACATGCATTTTTAAATACTGTTTTTATAAAGAACATTGAGTCACAGAACAAGTAACAAACTAACATTTTTAACTGAAGGTAAACCAAACCTAGTGTTGTGCAAACATACAGGATTTTGCTCTTCCAGAACCACTGTTTTCTGGAGATTCCCTCTATCTCTTAAGTTATGGCTTACCGCTTTCTCTGGCAGGAACTAGAATCTTACAGAAATTCAAGGGCATTACACCCCCACCTCCCTTTGCCAGGGTGTGTGGAAGCCCTCACTCCACAGGCTCCTATGGACTAGATTGTGGGTTCAGTTGGTTTCAAGTAAACTAGCATCAGAGTCAGGATCCCATGTATGCCACAAGCTAATGAAAGTAGAATTTGCCTTCAGAGCCTACTCTAGAATCCAGGGAAACAACCAGAATTGAATTTGAGGTGCTGAACATCTGTGGAGCAACCACTAGGTGCTGGGCATCATGCTAAACTTGATGAGGTTACCCCAAAGAACACAATACCGTTCTTGACTTCATGCCATTCACCAGCACAATGAGAGGCCAGGATATAATATTATAAGTTAAATATAATAAAAGTGAAAAGGAAATAAGTGATTTAACAGCTACAAAAAATTATAGGAATACCAGGGGGGACTGAAAAAAAACCCTGAGTTATCTTTTGGAGTGTGGTCCCCTTGTAGTACAGGCTTCCCTGGCGAGGTACGTGTTCTAGGAACCCATCTGTATCAGAGTACCAGCTAGTACGGTTGTGAAAGGCTGCATCCGGCTTCAGTTAATATATTTTTGGGGGGTGATTCTTTTAACGTGTTTGCCCATTTCATGATGGTGATTTACAAGCACACCTGCCCACACCACACAGAATGTTCAGCAGTTTTTGACCAAAAATGTCAGGACCCCAGTGCCCCCCCCTCCCTATTCACACAATCTCACTCCCCCAGACTTTTTTTTTTTCTCTCGAATGAAAAAGTCCTCAAAGGGAAATGTGTTGTAATGTGGAAGAGGTGAAACAAAAAAAGGCAGAAGCACAAAAAGGCATCAAGATTGATGAGTTCAAAAACTGTTTTTAGCCGTGACAATTACTGGCTAAGGACTGGTCTAGAATACACAAATGAATCCAACGTGTTTCCTGCCCCTCAGTAGGCATATTGCATCAAACGGAGAGTACTTTGAAGGCAACTGAAGTTTAAACATGTAAAAATAAATGCACAATTTTTAAAAAACAAATTCTGGGGTTTGTGGGGTCCCCCTTGTACAAGAAAAAGGGAAATTTATTTTCTTGGGAGGCAGCAGGGATACTTCACAGACGAGATGACATTCAGGCTGGCCCTCAAAGTTATTTCCATAGGTAGAGAGAGAGATAAGGATCATTCCAGAGAAGGGCTTGATTTTATAGGCTTCATAGTCAGCTGGGCGGTCAGCTCACTTGGGTACCTCCGCATCATCTGTGCCTGGAAAGGAAAGCAAAGGGAGGGCTGTAGGCCTTTACATGTGCTAGATTATAACAGATCCTCCCAATGTCTTGTATGGTTAGTTTGGTTACAATATCTCCAATTTACAGTTGAAAAAACTGGTGGCCAGAGGAAAGGAACTTGTCTAAGATCACATAGCGAACAGTTGGTGAAATCAGAACTCTGACTGTGGAATCAAGGAAATCTGTGCCAAAGAGGTGACATTTGAGCTGGGCCTTCAAAGATGCACACAAAGAACTGAGACAAGTGTTTGTCTACAGTGATCCAAGCATGCCCATCTCCCATCTCCTGTTGGCTACAATGGATGGCCTCAGGAACCTCATGATGGGTGAAACAGGAGAGGAGAGGGGCTGGGGAGAACTCACAAGTGGATCCACCCAACCAAGAGGAAGTCCTTGTCTCCTTCACTTCACCAGAGGGTTGGATTAAAGGAGAGCTGATTCAAACTCATATCCACTGGTGGTTCTCCAGGGGTCAGTGATGCCCAGAGTGGGTTCCATGTGGATGAAAACTGGGCTCTGCCAACCACTTGTGCCCAGAGAGCCAGGTCAGCCCTGGGTTGGAAAGCAGAGGAAGCTACAGAGACTGAGCATGTAGTGTGATAAGCAGGCATGCGACGGTCCCTTCAGGGAACCTACAGATGGACTGGAACCAGCAGAAAAGCAGAACATCTGCTTACAGAAGGCCAAGTTCTATCTTAAAATCTTTACATATCCTAAGGAATTTAGTTATCACAATGCCCATAAGAGATAGTCCTATCATCACCCCATTTGCTGATGGAAAAACTGAGGCACAGAGACATGACTTACCTACCTCACACAATTTATAACCAAGAAAGCTAGGACTCAGTCCATGCAGTCTGAACCACCACCTCTTATTGTTTAGGACTGTGTGCATTAGGTGGGCATTCAGGGTGGGGTGTCCTTGCAGCTCTAGGAACTTTTGACTGCCCGGAGGTCTCAGGTGGGGATCGCTAGATACCATTTCCAAAGCCTGTCCTGGGAGGAGCTGATCCAGCCAGGTCCTGGGGCCTGCAGCTGGGTGAGGCGAGGCAGGCTCAGGCAGAATGAGCCGTCTTCTTGGATTAGTCCCTCACACTCTTGGTACAGACTTCCCA